TAGTGTAACATGTGTCACAGGGACAGAAACGTTGTGTCACAGGGACAGAAACGTAGTGTAACATGTGTAACAGGGACAGAAACGTTGTGTCACAGGGACAGAAACGTAGTGTAACATGTGTCACAGGGACAGAGACGTAGTGTAACATGTGTCACAGGGACAGAAACGTGTCACAGGGACAGAAATGTTGTCACAGGGACAGAAACGTTGTGTCACAGGGACAGAAACGTAGTGTAACATGTGTAACAGGGACAGAGACATAGTGTAACATGTGTTACAGGGACAGAAACGTTGTCACAGGGCCAGAAACGTCACAGGGACAGAAACGTAGTGTAACACGTGTAACAGGGACAGAGACACAGTGTAACACGTGTAATGGGGAGAGACGTAGTGTAACAGGGACAGAAACGTAGTGTAACATGTGTAACGGACAGAAACGTAGTGTAACGTGTAACGGACAGAAACGTAGTGTAACATGTGTAACAGGGACAGAAACGTTGTGTAACAGGGACAGAAACGTTGTGTAACAGGGACAGAAACGTTGTGTAACATGTGTAACAGGGACAGAAACGTAGTGTAACATGTGTAACGGACAGAAACGTTGTGTAACGTGTGTAACAGGGACAGAAACACAATGTAACACGTGTAACAGGGACAGAAATGTTGTGTAACAGGGACAAACGTGTCACAGGGACAGAAACGTAGTGTAACACGTGTAACAGGGACAGAAACGTTGTGTCACAGGGACAGAAACGTAGTGTAACACGTGTAACAGGGACAGAAACGTAGTGTAACATGTGTAACGGGGACAGAGACGTCGTGTAACGGGGAGAGACGTAGTGTAACACGTGTCACAGGGACAGAAACGTAGTGTAACATGTGTAACAGGGACAGAAACGTTGTGTCACAGGGACAGAAACGTTGTGTCACAGGGACAGAAACGTAGTGTAACACGTGTAACAGGGACAGAAACGTTGTGTCACAGGGACAGAAACGTAGTGTAACACGTGTAACAGGGACAGAAACGTAGTGTAACATGTGTCACAGGGACAGAAACGTTGTGTCACAGGGACAGAAACGTAGTGTAACATGTGTAACAGGGACAGAAACGTTGTGTCACAGGGACAGAAACGTAGTGTAACATGTGTCACAGGGACAGAGACGTAGTGTAACATGTGTCACAGGGACAGAAACGTTGTGTCACAGGGACAGAAACGTAGTGTAACATGTGTAAC